TCAAAAAAAAAAAAAAAGAGTGCCTTCTATCTGTGACCTGCAATTAAAGTGTTTTCCTTTAAAGTGGAGTTATAGGACTGGTTCAGTGGCTTACACCTGTAATCCCAGAATTTAGGGAGGCTGAGGAGGGAGGATTGCTTGAGTTCAGGAGTTCAAGTCTGCAGTAAACTAGGATAGTGCCACTGCACTCCAGCCTGAGCAGTGGAGGGAGGCGACTCTGTCTCAAAAATTAAAAAAATACAATAAAACAGTTTTAAAGTTGCCTTTTAAAAGATGCTTGAGTCAAAGCAGTCAAGCTAAAGAAAAAGATGAAGGAAACAATAGTACATACAGATGATAACCTGGATATGGCGAAAATCAGGAGGATGAGTTCAAGCTACTGAAATTTGCAAACGCTGCTGTAAATCAAAGTGTTCTCTGTGCAATTGCATTAAAACAAAACCCAAAACAGGACACAGGGAGTGGAAGGGGGTCAAAGTGGTCACCGAACAGCTCTTACCATATAAACCACAGCAACAAAGTTGTCCATCTAAAATGGGGCGTGAAAAGGTCCCTCATTTTGCCTCGGTCTTCCTGTTTCAAAACAAAGACATGGTGTTTATTCTCTCCCCTACAGATGCATGGGAGACCTGCTGGTGGCCTGAGACTAGTGCACACACGGTGGGAGGGAGGTTTCTGGTTGGTAGGACACTGGAGCTCTGAGAACCCAGAACTCAAATCTACAGGACACAGCCTCCCAAGCCCTCCAGCCAGAACCCAGCCATGTCCAGAGGCATGATTCCCACAGGGTGGATCTCATGCCCTCCAACCTGGAAACCTGGAGCTGGGAAGCAGATCCCTCTGTCCTGGCCCCTCAGACCTCAGCACAGACTCATGGACCCAGGGAGCAAAAAACCAGTTCAAAGCATGTCCAGCCATTTCACACATACACAAGTGCCTTCCCCAGTTCTAGGTCTAGGTGGCAACAATGAATGTGCTGAGAAACTAATTCACCAAACGTCAATTTACCAAAAGATGGATGAGCTAAATGACCTATTGGCCAATTTTACATAATTTACAAATTTTACAAATCTTTGCTTTACAATGTTCTTTAAAAAATATATGCTATGGCAGGTGCGGTGGTTCATGCCTGCAATCCCAGCACTTTGGGACGCCAGGGCAGGTGGGTCACTTGAAGCCAGGAGTTCGAGACCAGCCTGGCTTTCCTTCAGCCATGGGAGGGGTCTCTCCCCAAAGGCAACCAAATGGGCTTCTGCACCTCTTGCGGAATCCCTCCTGCTCTGCCCTGGAGATTTGGGGCAGGTCCCCTGGCCTCTGCGTTGTCAGACCAAACACCTCCTTCCAACCTGCTGAAATACCATTTAATTCTTCTTGCATAATATAAAAACAATCAGAAATAGAACTTTATTTTAAAAGGTAATTTCTTTATAGGATCTGATGTCTGCTAAGGGTACTTGTTATGTTCCTCTAATCCGCTTGGATGGCTCTTGAGGGCAGGAACTGCAGCCTTAAATCTGAATCTTTTCTCTTAACACGTGCAATGCCAGTGCCTATATACAGTAGGTGCTCATTGAGTTTCACCGTGGTGGATTTCCTGATGGTGTTACTGGTGGAGTGAGGCACCATCCATTACGAAGATCTACATCAGGTGCGGTTTGAACCCAGCGATCTAAGCACATTCCTTCCTAATGTGGTTTTACTGCCCAGCTTTTGCCAATCAATCTCATTTGCTAGTCAGACTTCATCTGTGCTGAAAGGCGAACCCGAAGCAGTAGTTACAGGACCCATTAGCAGATGTTACATTTCTCTAGTCACTGGCGAAATTCTCCAGGTAGGATTTTTAGAATTTGGCAGTTACAATACATATTGGAGTAGCCAAATTACCCTTGCAGGTCCTGTCTACTGGGGCCTCATCCGTTCCATGTGCACACACACACACACACACACACCCCACCCTGGGTACACACACCCACGTGTATCCACACTTGCATGCCTTACTCTATGTGCACACCCCTGCATGCACACCAATACACACGTTGCAGAGTCCATTGGTCCAGGCACTGACCTGTCTGGAGATGATGAGTTTCCCCAGTGGCATGGGAGCTCCGTTTTCCATCGCTATCCTCTTTAAGGTGGCAATTGCCTTTTCCTGGTTCCCTGACAGCACATCATACCTTGCACTTTCCGGCAGCCACTGGGATGGGGGAGACAGGAGACCCAGGTGTGATTCGTTAGGGTGGAACAGAGCACTCACTTCTAGCCACACACTCTTATTTATGTGTCGGGTTTTAAGGTGGGGGCTCTGGAGACCTGACTTCAAATCCTGGCCCCGCTGTTTATGATGTTGGTTGTGTGACCCTGTACAATTACTTGACATCTCTGTGCTTTCATTTCCTTATCCATAAAATGTGAATGACAAGAGATCCTAGCTCGTAGGACTCTTCAGAGGATTAAACGGGATCATCCAGGCAAGGTGCTTAGCTCAGCGCCTGGTCGGGGTTAATGCAGTTATTATTGTCACGGTTACTATTACTATTACTTGGGGCTGCTTTCAGGATTCCAGGCGAAGGCTGAATTAAATTAAGATCACCATCAGAATTCTCACCCCCATCTCTTAAGGAATTATACCTCACCTGTATTCAATATCGTCTTGCAAACTCAGTTCAAGAGAAAGAAATCAGAAAGATTTTTAGGCCTATGGAAGTCACAACCACAAATGACTAGATAAATACATTTCTGTAAAAATGGAGCAACAGCTATTAGAAACAGCAGGTAAACTGGAGAAAACATGAGACTAGAAGTTAGAAGATCTGGTTCAGAGTTCTTTCATCTATTTGCTGTAGGCCCTTTCCTTCTTCATAGTGCAAAGTTGTCTTCAGAGGTGGCTGCCCAGATAGGGACTACATTTCCCAGCTCCCCTTGCATCTAGGTGAGACCATGTGACTTGTGTTCACCAATGGCATATGAGCAGACTATTCCTGGCCAAGGCATTTAAGAAGTAAATGTGCAGTCACTACTTGCCTTTTGCAAGTCTGTTTTCTGACTGCAGAAGACTTCAAAGCCCTAGAGGATGGCAGAGCCACCAGCTGGACAAAACCAGGGCCCAGAATTCCACTTGCCAACCAGAAAAGTCATTCTGAACTATTGTGTGAGTGAGAGAGAAGCTCCTCTCATGCTATGTTGCTGAACGTGTGGGCTTTGTTTGTTTCAGCAGCTGGCATCATCCTGACTCATATAGGGGTTCATTATAGTCCTGTGATTAGTGGGAGAAATAAATATCATAATGCATGGAGCACAGAGCCTGCCACACAGTTAAGCTTAATAATTATTAACACTACTGTCATTACCAGGAATTTTTGTGGTATTTATCATACATGATAACTAGCCATCTCTAGGCTTATTTTAGTGCCTACTGGCTGTAAAGTGTTTCATCCATGTACCCGTGAAATGATGAGTATGTGGCAAGATCTCAGTAGAGGGTGTGGTTTCTGCAGAGCCGAGATGAAGAGATCATTAAACTCCTGGAGCCAGCCATTCCTGAAGTTAACTTGAATCCTCTGAAATGTATTTATCCCTCTCTTTTACTCAAGCCAGTTTGAATGGGATTTCTGTCACTTGCAACTTAAGAGTCTCACCTAAGGCAATATAATCACTTTAAGTGTAGATTTTGCAATGATGGGGCCAATGTATCCTCCCATCCCCAGTTCTCTCTCTAGAAAATATCTCAGAAGTGTCTGTCTGGAGGAAATCTAACACTCCATACTGGGGCTATCCCGGGCCATAACTCTCTTGTCTCATTTCCTGATGAAAAAATAATAATAATCTTAAAAAGTGGCTTTGATATCCTTCTCCATCCCCTCCCCGCTAAAATAGAATGGACAGTAAGGTGTCAGGTAGCAAAAGCTGAGATCTCTTAAAGGATACCTACGAAACACAGCACGGCAAAGAGGAGGAGCGGGACAGCCGAGAGGATGAGCAGCCAACGCCAGCCCAGGCTGGGCATCACGAACACAGCCAGGGCGACCTCGAACACTGTCCCGATGGCCCAGAATACCTGGCACAGGAGAATTAGGGTCAGCGACGGGGGTAGCATGGTCCACACACTGAGGAATTATGGGGCACTGTGGACCAGGGTCTTTCTATGGGTAAGGGGTTACTGGAGTCAGCAAGGTTAGAATAGCCACCCTTTCCCTATGATCTATAGGGTTGGGCCAGGGCTGCCACATTGCCAAGCTCACAAGGGTGCCATCTCCACCGTATATTTGTATGGCACCCGCTGGAGTGGGGCGATGCGGCAGCTCTGGTTAAGGAGATCAATATGGTCAATATTATGTGATGTCAAATTGGTAGTCAACATATTGGGTCTTTTCTTTTTAACAGGGTCTTGCTCTGTCGCCCAGGCTGAAATACAGTGTTCAAATCATGGCTCACCGCAGTCTCGACCTCCCAGGCTCAATCCTCCCAACTCAGCCTCCTAAGTGGCTGGAACTACAGGCACATGCCACCATGCCCAGCTAATTTTTTGTATCTTTAGTACAGGTGGGGTTTCACTATGCTTCCCAGGCTGGTCTTGAACTCCTGGGCTCAAGTGATTTGCCCTCCTGGGCCTCCCCAAGCACAAGGTTACAGGCATGAGCCACTGCACCCAGCCTCAAATTTTTTATTATGGTAAAATACACGTAACAAAATTTACCATCTTAACCATTTTTAAGTGTGCAGTTCAGTGGTATTAAATACATTCGTAATATTGTGCAAACATCACCACTCCCCTTCACCAGAACTCATCTTGCAAACGTGAAAGTGTGTACTCTTTTTTTTTTTTTTTTTTTTGGACAGAGTCTTGCTCTGTTGCCCAGGCTGAAGTGCAGTGGCATGATCTCAGCTCACTGCAACCTCTGCCTCACGGGTTCAAGCGATTCTCCTGCCTCAGCCTCCCCAGTAGTTGGAATTACAGGTGCCCCCAATCACATTAAGCTAATTTTTGTATTTTTAGTAGAGACAGGGTTTTACCGTGTTAGCCAGACTGGTTTCAAACTCCTGACCTCAGATGATCTACCCATCTCAGCCTCCCAAGTTGCTGGGATTACAGGGGTGAGTCACCGTGCCCGGTCAGAAAGTCTGTACCCATTAAACAATAACTCTCCATTCCCCTCTATCCCCAGCCCTTGGCAACCACAATTCTACTTTTTGTCTCTATGAATTTGATTACTCTAGGTACCTCATATAAGTGGAATTGTACAGTATTTGTTTTTTTGTGACTGGCTTACTTCCCTGAGCATAATGTCCTCAAGATTCATCTGTGATGTAGCATGTGTCACAATGTCCTTCCTTTTTGAGGCTGAATAATATTCCAATGAATGTATAGACCACAGCTTGTTTGTCCACGAGTGTGTTGATGGACACTTGGGTTGCTTCCATGTCCTTTTTTTCTTTTTTTTTCTTTTTTTTAAGAAATGGGGTTTCACCATGTTGGCCAGGCTGGTCTCAAACTCCTGACCTCAGGTGATCTGCCCACCTTGGCCTCCCAAAGTGCTGGGATTACAGGCGTGAGCCACCGTGCCCGGCTGCTTCCATGTCTTAGCTATTGTGAATAACGTGGCTATGAACATGGCTGTGCAAAATGGACACACTGACTTTGCTCACTGACATCCATCTCCCTTGCCCAATGGTGCCCCAGAATTCCTAATCAGAATTGCCCCTTCTTGATGGGGCTGAATATCTTCTGTTTGCATGCCCAAGTCACTCTCCATCTTTTCCACTTTTGTGTGGATTCCATCAACAGGCTCCCTGTCCTAGCACTTCCCGTTGGGTGCAGCCAATGTGGAATCCTGCAGGACATGGGAGGGAGGGAGGAGAAAGACACTGAAGCACTTATTCCCCTGGCTTCCTCCCTGCAGAGTGGTCCTGGCTGGTTGTATCCCTCGGCTGAAGGTCCTAGCTCCTGTCCCGCGGCCTTCATCATACAACTCTCTGGGCAGCTCATTAATCCCTCTCTTTGCTCCTTCTGGCCTCAGGTGGTAACACCTTTGTGGGGATTTTATAAATAGTCCCTTGATTTATTTATTTGTTGTTATTGTTGTTTTGAGACAGAGTCTCACTCTGTTGCCCAGGCTGGAGTTCAGTGTTGCAGTCTCAGCTCACTGAAACCTCTGCCTCCCAGGCTTAGGCAATTCTCGTGCCTCAGCCTCCCCAGTAGCTGAGATTACAGGTGTGTGCTACCACACCTGGCTAAGTTTTTGTAGAGATGGGGGTTTTGCCATGTTGGCCAGGCTGTTCTCAAACTCCTGACCTCAAGCAATCTGCCCCCCTTGGCCTCCCAAAGTGCTGGGATTACAGGTGTGAGCCACCACGCCTGGCCAATAGTGTCTTTATTAAACCATCTGCAATGATCCTAATTTCAGTAGCTGTTTCCTGTTGGGACCCTGACTCTACAATTACTCTCCATTCCAAAACCTGGCCCTCCAGTCTCCTCATTTGTTTCGGAGTCCCTAAAAACCTTCCGAAGTCCGTTTTCGCTTAAATAAACCACAGTCCATTTCTGTTGCTGACAACCAGGGCGGAGAGAAGAATGTCTAGCAACTAATGCACTGACCAATCAGAATGGACACCAATTACACATGCCCACACCATCTGCACTGTGCCAGGGTTTAACTCTTTAGTTGCTGAATCATGGGAAGCTCTGGAGGGTCCCAAGAGAGGATAGAGTGTCAGGCAATGAAGGGCAGTCAGAGTTCAAGATCAGCTGGTCCAGGTCCAGATATATTCCCCTTGCCCACCCACCCCCCCTTTTTTTTTTTTTGAGACAGAGTCTCACTCTGTCACCTAGCCTGGAGTGCAATGGTGTGATCTCGGCTCACTGCAATCTCCACCTCCCAGGTTCAAGCAATTCTCCTGCCTCAGCTTCCCGAGTAGCTGGGATTACAGGTGCCTGCCACCATACCCAGCTAATTTTTTGCATTTTTTTAGCAGAGATGGGATTTCATCACCAGGTTGGCCAGGCTGATCGTGAACTCCTGACCTCAGGTGGTCCACCCGCCTCGGCCTCCCAAAGTGCTGAAATTACAGGCATGAGCCACCACACCTAGCCTTCTTTTTGTTGTTGTTGTTTTTTAATAGATAGGGTCTTGCTCTGCCACTCAAGCTGGAGTGCAATGGTGTGATCACAGCTCACTGCAGCCCCAAACTCCTGACCTCAAATGATCTTCCTGTCTTGGCCTCCCAAAGTCCCAGATGCATTTCAATATTTAAACAACTGATTCATCCACATGAGTGTGGATCACTGAAGCATCACCCTAATTGGTAAGGAGCAGATGTTGTCAGGATGTTGGGCTGTGGGGGCAATGTGATTAATATTGTCAGTGTGCTTACAGTGACTGGGGACACCAGAGTGGGTTCACAGTCATCACTGTGGGATCAATGTCCAGCAGGGGCAAATAAACCATTCTGCCACTGTGTGGAGGGGCCCATCGGGCAGCTGCATGAGGTAGGGCGTCATGGACATTGTATTTGCTCTGAGATCTTTCAGGTCATGGTTGGAAGGTTGGAAATGGGTCACGAGACCCTGGAAGAAAAACTTGAGAGGAGCTAGTTGGACCTTGAGAGTTCTAAGGCAGCCTACAGGCCACAGAAATGGTCAAGGATGTCCCTGGACCAAAAACACAGGCACAGGTGGAGGGTGATGATGTGGGTGTGGGGGCAGGAGTCTGGTCTACTCATGCCACACTATTCAACACAAACTCTCAAATTCAAGCTCTTTCCAGTTCAAGAAAAACATACTCTTCTATACTCTTGCCTCCGTTTTTTTTTTTTTTTTGTTGGATGACAGCTTGAATGTTCTTTTTTATTGAAGAATTTATCCATATTGCAAAATGGGCATGTGAGAATTGATGAAACTGATCCCTTTACATTTTTGCATATTGAGTCTGTAACATTTTTTTTTTAAACCCCCTTTTCCTTGACCTGTGGCCAAAGACATCTGAGAAGCCCCGCCAGAGTCCACACTCTCTGGACACCCAGGCCACTCTCCTCCTTACCTCAATCAGCAAAATGCATTTAGCTCTGGCTTTCATGGGAAGGAACTCGGCATAGAGCGTTACCCTGGGAATGTAAAAGAGACAGAAAGGGAGTTAAGATCAGAACTGTGTGGGAAAATGGCTATGGTTTTTCTGAATTTCCTGCCAACATTCCTCCAAGAGTGGTCAATGGACCACTTACAACAGAATTTCCTGAGATGATGATGGTTAAATATATAGATCTCTAGCTCCCTCCCTCTCTAGACCCAGAAACAGACACCCAGGGATGAGGCCCTGGCATCTGCATTTTTATTTTATTGTATTTATTTAGCGTCTGTGTCTCACTCTGTCATCCAGGCTGAAGTGCAATCATAGGTCACCACACAACCTTGAACTGCTGGACTCAAGTGATCCTCCTGCCTCAGCCTCCAGAGTAGCTAAGACTACAGATATGCACACCACTCCTGGCTAATTATTATTATCATTTGTAGAGATGTATGTTGCCCAAGTTGGTCTCGAACTCCTGGCCTCAAGTGATCCTCCCACCTCGGCCTCCAAAAGCACTGTGAATATAGATGTGAGGCACCGTGCCCAGCCTCACCTGCATTTTTAACTCCCTAAGTGATTTTCAAATTTCATAACTGCTGCCATTGAGCCCTGCCCGTAACCCAGTAAGTCTAGGGAAAAATGTCTTCTTGGCAGGAACACCTTGACCTGAGCTCTTCTCAGCACACCAGGGCACACAGTGTCAACCTGTCACCAGTGACATTAATCTTCAACACCGGATCAAGCTGGTGATGGAGATGACCAGCTTGGTAATCTGGTCTGACAGATTCCTCCACCCTAAGTTATAACTTTCCATTCCTGATGAATAATATTTCTCCTTTGTGAGGAAATATTCAGAGATTATGCCAATATCCTCCCCACAGAACCTCCACCTACCAGCTTTAGCCATTGACTATCTCTATCTACATCATCTTCCACTGCGATGGTAACACGTGGTTGTTTTTATCTGGTTTTTGAGACAGGGTCTTACCCTATCCCCAGGCTTGAGTGCTGTGGTGCCATCATGGCTCACTGTAGCCTCAACCTTCCTGGCTCAATCTATCCTTACCTCAGTCTCCAAGACTATATAGCACTGGGACTAGGACTACAGGCACACAGCACCACGCCCAGCTAATTTTTTAAAAATTATTTTAGAGATGATGTCTCATTATGTTGTTCAGGCTGGTCTCAAACTCCTGGGCTCAAGCAATCCTTCTGCCTTGACTTCCCAAAGCAGTAGGATTACAGGCATGAGCCACTGCACCCAGCCCCACAAATGGCATTTTTAATTTCTGTCATTCCTTCTACATTTATTAGTTGACATTCTACTGTAAGAAAGAGCTTTTCCTTCTTCCTTTCATCTTATCTGTCTATCCATTCAATCAGTATGGACTTCTGGAGTCCTATTTCTACAGTGGGTTGTAGCTTGTTATTATTCTGATGCTCAGAAGAGCTTTCCTCTTCTCCTTTATCTGTCTTATCTAGCCATCTAATCAGTAAGGACCAGCAGATTCCAATTTTATTTCATGAGTTACAACCTGTTATTATTATCATTATTGTTAGTATTATTATTTTGAGGCAGGATTTTACTTTGTCACCCAGGCTGGAGTGCAGTGGCACAATCTTGGCTCACTGAAACCTCCACCTTCTGGGTTCAAGCAATTCTCCCACCTCAGCCTCCTGAGTAACTGAGATTACAGGTGCCTGCCACAATGTCTGGCTAATTTTTTAATTTTTAATTTTGGTAGAGATGTGGTTTCAGCATGTTGTCCAGGCTGGTCTCAAACTCCTGACCTCAAGTGATTTGCCTGCCTCAGCCTCCCAAAGGGCTGGAATTACAGGCATGAGCCACCGTGCCCAGGCTGCAACCTGTTACTATTTTGATGTGCAGACTGTCCCAGATCTGGCCAGTGGGAGCCCCTTCAGGCTGATTCCTATTGTCTTTTTGGCACGTCTCCATCATTCCTCAAGGTCTTCCCTATTTTCTAGCACAAGATGTCCAGCTCATCTTCCCTTGCCCCAGCCCTGGAGTCTGTCATCACCTTTCCAGGAAGCCCTGGTTCCCTTTGGCAGAAGATGGTATTTAGAAACCAAGATCTCTGTGCTCAGTGTGATCATTGCTTTTGGGGTGTCACTGCTGCTGGGCCCTCTCAGTGGACACAGCTAAGAAATTATCTGTTTGTCTATCTATCTATCATCTATCTATCTATCTAACAATCATCTATTTCTGTCTTACTTCTCTTCCTCTCTCCACACAATCACCATATCTATATCTATCGGTGTATATTTATTTAAAAACAACAAGTTCATACTGATACTTTCCATTTCAGTTAGTTATCTTAGGGGTCTTTCTAACCTTCTTTGCTTCTGTGTTGCAATTCACTTCTCCAATAATGGGAAATCTGGTCTCATTATCCTCAATACGGTTCTGTCTTTGCTTAATTTACTTGTTTGCTCAATGTAACCAACTGCACTGGCTGCCTCCTCTGTCTGCTGCTTCCACGCTTTCCTCCTTTTCACTTCCTCAGCCTTTGGGCATGCTGGACAGAGAAGGGAACTTTTAAACAAATCCCCGCTCCCACCTACCCCCTGCCGCCTTCAATTTTGTTAAAAAAGAAGACCTTCTTTTCTCTCATATCTCCCACCTAAGCCAGGCATCTGAGCTACTAAATGGCCTCGTGTTATTCTCCTAGCTCCTCTTAAGGGGTGGGGGTTGGGGGATAAAGGGAGGCTAATTTCCTTTAACCCTTTGAAGGCAGATGGTGCTGGGGACATATTTAGATCGCCTAGGATCCCTTTACTAGGTCAGTGTGCCCACCTCACTGCTTCTGCTAATGGCTCCTACATGTAACCTTCTCTTAGGGATGCTCTTGAGCAATTGGAGCTGCCTAACCACAGAGGTACCTAGGAGTTATGCCCATCTCCCCAGGAAAGGCTGCAGACTCGTGTATGTGTATAAAAGGCCCACCCCCTGGCGTCGGGGTGAGGGTGAGGGTCAGATTCTGTGGAGCAATGAACACTCCTTAGCTCCCTGTGTGCTCAGGTGAGTCCAGAAGAAACCACATCCTTGTGAACTTCTTCCCTGTATCTTTATCTTAGCATCTTTCACCCTTACAACTTTCTCCCAAGAACACTCTCTCAATAAATCATTTATACAGGAATCTCTGCCCTGGTTCAGTCTGCTTCTATGCAACCCAATCAGTGGCACCTTTCCCTATAGAGCATTTCATTCTTCAAAAGTCAGCTTCAGCAATACCACTATCTATCTATCTATCTGTCTATCTATCTATCTATCTATCTATCTGTGTCTGTCTATCTATCTATGTCTCACCACTGAGATTTAGACACAGTTCTATCATCAGTAAAATTCCTTGTTAGGGTTCTGAGCAAAGGAACCTCTATCCAAAGCAAGGAGAAGTCTCAGGAGCCTCAGAAGAAAGGCTAGGGCTTCAGTAGTTCTGTGTGACTCTTTTTAGGTAAAAGAATGAAGAAAATGTCACTGCCAGCCAGTCTCTCTCTTTCTGTCTTAGTCTTTCTTTTACTCTCTGTATGAATCCATAGCTGAGATCATACTCAAGAGTTTTGAAAGACCGTTATCAATCTGACTTATAAATAAGCATTTCCATGCCACTTAAAAGGCTCTTGCATCATCTATTCTATCACATGCGTGAACCTTATCCTTAATAATAGCTACCTCTTAGTAAGCATCTACAATGTGCTTAACACTGTTCTAGATGTTCTACATGGATTATCTCACTCAATAAGTATTGCAAATCAATGGGGGTAAGTAATTACAATTCCCAATGTGTGTGTGAGTGTGTGTGTGTGTGTATGTGTGTGTGTGTGAAAGAGAAATAGAGAGAGAGAGGGTTTGGCTCTGTGTCCCCACTCAAATCTCATGTTGAATTGTAATTCCCAATGTTGGGGGAGGGACCTGGTGGGAGGTAATTGGATCACGGGGGTGGTTTTCCCCCTTCATCTCATGATAGTGAGTGAGTTTTCATGAAATCCAGTTATTTAAAAGTGTGTAGCACTTCCCTCTTCACTCTCTCTCCCGCTGCCATGTGAAGATATGTTTGCTTCACCTTTCCCTTCCAACATGCTTGTAAGTCTCCTGATGCCTCCCCAGCCATACCTCCTGTACAACCTGAGGAACTGAGAGTCAATTAAACCTCTTTTCTTTATAAATTACCCAGTCTTGGGTAGTTCTTTACAGCACTGTGAGAACGGACTACCACCATTTTCATATCCACATGGATCAACAACAGAGAAGTTGTTACTTGATCAGGATTGCACAGCTAGTCAGTTAGTAAGCAAAAACGCCAACATTTTAAACTAGGTTTGTCTACATCATGCAGCCCATCAATCACTGCCCTGTTGGGACGGTTTCAGTTACAAACAACACTTCCTTAAACATCTGTAGGCTGAAGTCTTTGTCTTCACATTGTTTCCTTAGGACAGATCCCTCTAAGTAGAATCTGAGTCAGAGGTTATCCTTATTTTTGTGATTTGAGATATATACTACCAAAGTCATTCTCCAAAATGTTGTTCCAATTTACATTCCCTCCAGTACCTCACTCAACAAAAACCACGAGGAATTTCATTCACCAAACCCTGATAACAGAGACCAAGATTATAGAGGTTGCTAAAGATTGCAGCAATTGTCATGGATGACTTTGACATTTTATTCTATTTTCCAAATAGTAAGCTATATTGTTTTTAAAAATCAATCATAATACCATGTTTACCTTTCCCTCACCTAATTAAAGTCAAAGTACTCCATGCAAAAATGTGCAGCAGTATATTCTAAGGGCAAAGTTATTCCTGTCCTTAGAGATCAAGGATTTGTTTTTATAATGGACCTATAACCTATTTCATGAAGCATTTTCATTATGTTTTTTTTAGTTATAGAGTATTACATGAACGCATTCTCATTGTAAAATAATTTAGCAATACATAAGCATGAAGAGAAGATGATGATTATTCCTCTCCCTATGACCCCAACTTCCATTCCCCTCCCTCAAAGCCAAAACTACTGAT